TTATGAACAATTTTGACTGAAAAACCCCAGTGTGTGTATTACTTGAGGTTGTGTGGTACTTGAGTAAATATGGTATTGTATTTGAAAAAGGTTTCTCACCAGAAAGACCTGCAATCCATTGGTTTCTCTTAACACTTTTTGAGTAATCCAAAGGTGAGATAAATTCCTTGGTGCTGCTGAGGCCTGACTCCATGATAGCTGAAATAAAGAGTAAGTTATGTACAAAATATCCACAGGGCAATATAAAAAGCAACCAACAAGCAAAAAGTAGAAATAGCCCTTACAAATACAGTGAGTCCCCACAGAAAAAACAATTCCATTTCTGGATGCATGTCATTTATTGGCATTATTAGTGATGAAAACTGAATTTTCTCTTTATTTTTTATTCAAAATGTTTAATTTTCTCCAGACACACACCAAAACACCACAGAAAACCTTGGAAAGGGTGTGATTTTTCTAATTGTATACATAGAATTCTGAATTTAAAATTGACTAGTATGAAACAGAAGTGATCCTGACAATGTCTTGCCAATTTTCTGAATTTAGAAATTGGTATAGGCAAAAAGAGGTAAACCATATTTTTCTATTCTTATCTCTCTTGATTTTTGAAAATTCGAATTTCACTTCAAAATTTGTTAACATTTGAGCTGTTGGGCTGAATAACAAATTCATTATGTGAAACATTCATGTTTTTCACCATAATAATTTCTCAAGAGAATTCTTGTTGATGTGTGAGGACTCACTGTAGCTGATATAATAAACTTCATTCACTTGATGAGATACAGTAATACCTGATCAACTAATATTATTCAAAGAACATGAAGTGTTCAGGATCAGAGAAACATTCTCCTTTTGATTTCATCTGGTAGACCAGAAATGAGCATCTGACCTCGTGTGTATTGTGGCTTCAAGAGCTGGATTGTCTGCAGGGGGCTAAATAAGATAAAGCACTTATTGTTTTGGAACAACTTCTTTTGCGATTTTCACCTCAGCCACTTGAAAATATCTGCGCTGCGACTGTAGAATGAGATAATGAGATCACTCCCTGTTCTGGGATCAACCAGAAGACCAGGTACATCCTAGTGCAAGGTTGAATATATACCTTATTTTGAGAGCATTTGGTGAAGTTATTTTTTTCGGTTTTCATGGTGTGTGTTTAGCTTGTCCTGTTTTACTTAACCTTGGAAAAAGCCAAGCATTTATTTATTTTTTCATCAGAACAGCAAGAAAAATGTGTGCTCCTGTCAATAAATGAGATGTTTGCACAGCACCACATAAGGTGGTTTAATTAGTTAGTACTTATTATTGATAGTCATTTTTATGTGTTAAATGGCCATATATTGCTGGTCTGACAAGAAAATTCTCTGTGTGCTTCAGTATTTGGATTATTCAGCAGCCGCTGATTTAAGTCATTTAACATATGTCTAACCAGTGTTAGCCAATTATATGCATAATTTCAGCACCTATACAGGTTAGGAGTGGGTAATAGAATGGTATCTTTAGTTACCTGCTGGGAGTAGCCCCATGCTGTGATGGAAGCATGTATGCAAAAAAAAAAAATGTTGCCAACATCCAAAGGCATGTTTCTTGCAGTTCAACCATGAGTGATACTGATTCATTGCAGGGGATCCTCACATGTTGAATGTATTGCATAAATGTTTTTTTCTGAAAGTCTGGAATTCTCATGTGAAATTCACTATGGCTCAAATGGGTACAATGCAGGTTGACTTTTTTCCATTTCATTTTTGAGAGGTGATTTGTTTTGTGTCTCTATTGTGATAGTAATGAATTCTCAAGAGATTGCTCACATTTATAAAGGAAAAGCTGCTTTTTCAAAAAAATTTTGTGGAACATCATTTTTCCTTGCTGAGTATAGATCATAATTTTTTTTCAAAACTATTTTTTTCTGTCATACACAACTGGTAAGTTGAATAAATAAACTTTTAATTTTACAATGCAAAAATTCAAAAGGATATAATAAATAACAAATTATGTGCATCAGTTCTTGGGTCTCAGCTGACAAAAAATACTTGGTAGCATATTTTCCAGACAAAAAACATCAGGCTAATGAGATTTTTTGAGGCAAATTATGGTCAGAAATTCAGCTTACCATATTTTTTCAGAAACTGGAAATTTATTAATATTGAAAAAAAAATCATGACATCAGTGTGAGACATGATGTATGAAAAAAATGAGGAATTATTGATGTCTGGCACCAATTTTTTAAAATGATCTTGATCCGTTTGTTTCAATGCGAACTCATTTTTATACAAATTATCATCAAAAAAGCAATTTCCAGCCATCTTTATCTCATTGTGGTTGGTTCTTGGGCACATTTTACGCCAAAAATTGAGGACGGTTCTTATTCCAGGACATTTGATGTTTGAGTTTGACCAACTTAATTGAGTAAATACAGTGGATGACTTTTTCATCGGTTATCTATGCTGGAATGTGTCAATTCCCAGTTGTTACTATACTGTATACGCCTATACGGAAATCAGCATGGGCAGTCTGCGGGAATTTGATCTATTTCCTCATCAACAGCATTAATTTATTGCAGGCAATAAGAGGTTCATAACCTTTCAAAAACAACAAAATTTGGTTCATCACATGAGCACTAACAACAAGAACTTTTTCCACCAGTTTCCCCATGTTTACTAGAATAATGTCAGTAGGATCCAAAAACAATTCCTTCCAGAGGAATAAGTTCCTGGTTCCATCCGTCCTGGCCTCAAATTAATCGCATTAAAATTCGGGAAACAGGAAAAACGTGTTATTCAAATTCATGAGATACGTTTTGTGTATTTTTTTAGGGATCCCAGCAGCGACAATAAGGATATACTGTAGCATTGACGAACATGTTCATTCAATTTCTACATAAGTACTGTATCTGATGACTGCGCGTTTCCAAATATTGTTTGTCTTGTTTTTGCTGGAGACAAATCTGGAAATCTCCGCGGGAGTAACATGACAAGATAATATATTTGATTTCGACGCAGCGCCACACTTGAAAGTCATGTTTTGTTGTTCGAACTTCAAGAACCCTCGAATGCAGTTCATTGGGGAACTTTTTCCAATAAGGGCCGACAAAAACAGGAAATCATTCATGGATCTGGTCTTTATTTAAATTTAGAAGGACTCCATGATATCAGTACGCAACATTGCCCAAGCGCAAGCAAAAAACATAAAAATAAATAATAATANCCAATATAAGGGCCGACAAAAACAGGAAATCATTCATGGATCTGGTCTTTATTTAAATTTAGAAGGACTCCATGATATCAGTACGCAACATTGCCCAAGCGCAAGCAAAAAACATAAAAATAAATAATAATATATACAGTATTCATAGAGGCGCCCGAGGGTTGGTTCGAAAATGAAGATCAACTGCCACTTGCCATCATTGGAGACAGATGCAATTAATTCTTTTGCTCTTCAATCCTTTATTGGCGTCCAATACATTTTTCATGGATTACTCAGCTACAGAAGGAAACAAGAAAAATATTTGGATCACAGTGAATCCCCTCCAGTGAATTGCACTCCGAAGTGAAGTTTAATTCATCAAGAGCAGCTGAATGTGCACCTGCTTGCTCTATGGGTTTGTGGGTTATGTGGTAAACTTCACTTCAGTGCACTTTATGGGAAGGCATTCACTGTCATCCAAGTCTTTTTCTTCTTTCCTTCTGTAGCTGAAAATAGTCAATGAAACATTCATTATACACCAATGAAGAATTGAAGAGCAAAAGAAAAAATGTCATCTGCCTTCAATGATGGCAAGTGCATGGCAGTTTATCATCTTTTACAAACCAGCCCTTGTATATATATATATATATATACTGTTTAAAAGTACAGTACATATACAGTACTTCGGACATGGGTGACCTTGTAACTTGTAACTCTGGCTGTAAGTGGAAATTTCTCACATATCATCATGCAGGAAATTCATTTTTTTTGTGAAAATCCGAAAAAAAATCCCACAACCTCAGAACATCGTGCGCTATGTCGTAATTTTTTTTTTATTATCGCATCTATGATGGAAAAATATCGGAGGATGCGCCCAACTGGGACAGAACTTTTGTAACTTCTTTCAGAATCAAATGTGTGTGCGGATTTATACAAGTTCATATACATTTCAATAAACCAGAGAGCAATAACGCGAGGTAAAAAAACGTGGATTTATGAAGTACTGTACTGTAATAATATGGTACTGCGTTGGTGTAACGTTTTGTGATGCGATTTTTCCTGAGGGCAATTCACAGTTCGTCGAATTTTCCTTCATGCGCACACCTCGTGAACACACTGAAGTAGTCAAGTCAAGCCATTCTTATGAGGAAATTATCAAATTGCATGGAAGTAAATCGCGTGCTGACAGCAGCAGTGGAATTCAAGACACTTTTATACATTTTACTGTCGTTCCAAAATAAATGCGGGCAGACTGACGTCCGGGCACGAATCTCGTCCCATCCCACGTTATTCCAACAAGTTTTCAAGGTGACTGTGCGGAGACACTCAACAGAGTTCCATCACTTCAATTCTGTGGAGGTGCGTCAATGTAGTTCAGAGAAGAATGTAGTATAGAGAAGAACGGAATGCGTTTCTCAGCATTTCAGATTGAAGGAGGGTAATTTCTCAAGTGACGCATTGTCAGCATTTATCTGTCACTGCTGTGGGTGTCACACTACATGAATGTCTACCTTGGCGGCTATGAAAGAAAAAACTGAAGATTCAAAAATCTTCAATACTATTTGACTTCAGATAAAGAGGCGCCTCAATATTCAAAAGAGGTTCAGCGGAATGAGTTCATTCCGCATTCTGGATGCTTTGAATTTGGAAATACAGAACAATTAACTGTGTCAATATATGACAAACAAACTTGTAAATTTGGCTGCTTATGAAGATTTTTATCCATTTGAGATTATCAGTTCATGATTGATTACATTGGAACCTCTAAAGCACAATATTTTGTTGAAGGACAAGCAGATCTTACACCAGGTTTTCAAGCAGAAGAGTGCAGCCACTGCTAAATGAGCTGAAAGTTCTTTTATTTTATTAAAAGTTCTGTAAATAATAAAAGATCAAATTTGGTGTTGATCAATCATTGGGAATTATTACCTAACAAAACTTAAACTTCATGCCTGCAGGATGATGATTATTCCTTTCTGGAGAATAATATGGCAAGATACTAATGTGTATGCAAAGTGTGTTTTCGGATCCAGCATTCAAAAATGTAATCCCAATGCTAAAACACACTGGTCTTACAATGTTGTTCAAGGGCAGTTTGACCAAACTGTTTTTGAACTGAGAGAAATTCAGAGTTTATAGGACATTGACCAGTGATTCCCTTCAAGTTCAAATCTTGAAGATGTCAATTGGACAGTTGGTTAATATGTGAGAGGTTTGAGTCATTTGACTTAACTGTTTTTGAACTGAGAGAAATTCAGAGTTTATAGGACATTGACCAGTGATTCCCTTCAAGTTCAAATCTTGAAGATGTCAATTGGACAGTTGGTTAATATGTGAGAGGTTTGAGTCATTTGACTTGGGAAGGTCCAAATATACAAAGTGTGCTTGTTTTGCATTCCACATTTACTTACTGGTGAATTCATATGGGAAGTAACCAAAGGATCTAGAATGTATTACTCTTTCACCACACAGTGATCAATTGAATGACTTTCTGGACATGGAACATACAGTATTACTCAAACATAACTTTGCATCACTTGGTTGACAATATTTTGGATAATGAACTACACACATCAGTGGAATGGGAAAATCAATCACAGTCCTTCCAAAAAAGAACTTATAAAATCGAATTCATAATGGATTTACTCCATTTATAATATCACTTGTTGTTTGGACAGTTGGTTAATGAAACCATATACTGTATAGATCAAGAAATGAAATATGTAAGAAGCGTCTTTGTGTTGTAAAGTTTGTTGATGAGGAAATCTGTTCAGTGAGAAATTAGTGTACTGAGAGCTCAAGTGCCCATACTAAATGTTCTAAAGATTCCAAAATCTCCCAAAATTTCAAAGGCAGGTGGAAATCCTCTGCAACAATTTTCTCTATACAGTATAACAATTTTGTTTGGTGCAATGCAGTCCTTTCCACATGTTACAGAGGTTCTCTACAACAAAATTATCTGCATTGTATTATGAATTTTTCTCTTGGCCCTAGAACTTTTTGTAGCAAGAGTCAACCTGCATCTTCTTGCGGCCAAAAACAAATTTAAAAAATAAAGCAATAATAAACTGGGGACAGACCGTTCACTCAGCCCATCCTTCTTTATGCCATTGTGGTGAATAAGCTCGAACACAGTGGTTCTACACATTGTGTCGTTTGTAAATCCCCACCTCACACCTCAACCACGAATTCGTCTTCAACAGTTCATCTCAGAGTCTATTCCTTAACTTCCTCCGAAAAAAACAACATAACACACCAACAACACAAGAAAACCACACGATGTTTCACGGCTCATCATCATTTCTTCTCTCTCTCTTCTTATTTTCTCTCTCTCTCTCTCTCTCAAATCGGTAGCCAGAAAGAAACCCCATGAGCTACTTGTTTCTCGATCACCCGCTTCCGACTTAGCTTTTCCGTCGCATTATTTCTTTTGTTTTTATCGGTGCACGCATCAGAGACCAAATCGGGTACAGCAGTTCGGATAACAAACACCCCTACACGAATCCTAAGCTAAAATATCAGAAGGAACTGAAAGCCAAGATGGATCACGACGCACAAAAAACATCCAAGAACGCGTTTTTTGAACTTTCCACACGGATCCTCCAAGTTTTCTCGTTTTTCCCATTCCGTTCATAAATATAAAAAAAAAACTTTTCCTTTCGATATGCCTTCACTTGTTTTGGAGTAATATCCATTCCATTTTTCTTTTTTTTTCTTCTTCTTGGAATACTGGAAAGAAAGCGGGGAAACATATTTCGCCTGAATGTATCTCATAAAATAACGACCCACAAAAAAAAATTGGATATTTCACAGAAATTCAGGGATTGTCTCCTCGCAAGGATTTGCAACGTTTCTTGCTTCCTGAAGCGTCTGGGAAAATATGGTCACCAATCACGTCTTCGAAAACTGTCAGAAAAGTTACTTCTTCAAGACCCCACATCGACGACAGACACGACACCAGAGGCTTAAAAGCTTTCTAGTCCAATGCGCTTCTTCGGGCAAAAAAAAAAAACCATGATTAGAACCATTTCTCGCACCCATCCGTGTATAAGTCTCAAGTCTCTGCCAAAATTTACAGGGTCCAAATAAAATAAGGAATTGATGTCCTGGTACTCCTGTCAACTATCTTTGACGAAACGTTGCGAAACCCCTTTGGAGAAGAATCAACCTCCCAATTCTTTCTTTTCTTCTCCTCAAGAACCAAACAAACAAACAAGCGCCGAAAGAGCAGAAAAAAAAAAGAGGGTGGGGATGGGGGGATGCTATAAAAATTGCTTCCGACAGGCGGCTTTCCGTCGACTGCCGCCCACAGAGCTTTTTGCAGCGGTGGCCATTGCGTCGCCCGACCAAGTCTTGGCCTTGGCCTTGAAGTGGCGCAGGTCGGCCATGTGGTTGGGATCCAACATGGTCTTGTAGGCAATTGGCGTGCACTGGTGCGGGTACCGCTCGTAGAACGCCTTGTAGCCACCGTCCAGCAGGTACAGCTCGGGGAAGTGCAGCGCCGGGTAATTGTTGGCATTCAGTCCGCGATCCCTGTTCCGCAGGAAACGTAATCTGTTCCCGGAAAGGAAAGACAAACAGTTGATAAAATTGTCATTCGAGAAGCATTCCAGGTTGAATTCAGTACTGTATTGAGATTTCGCGAAGTTCTTTTTTTAAACGAATGTCACTCAAATCATGCGCAATCCGTTTCCGACCGGAAAAAAAAAAATGACCGAACATTCATGAAAATTGTCATTTGAAGCATCCTAGTTTGAATTCAGCACCCAGATTTTATACTTTTGTTTTTGAAATGTCTGGTAATCATCGCCTGAAACACATAAAACTAGCAAAATAAGTCTCAGAAAAAAAAAATCCATGAAAATGTTATTCGAATCATTTCGGGTTCGAAATTTCGTATTTTTTTTTAAATGTCCAATAGGTGTCGCTTGAACATCCTACACTTTGCTCAGACTTCATCTACAGTGGGGACCCGACATGCGGACGCAATTGTTGCTTGGACCTCCTCCCTATTTCAGTGTTCGATCACGCTTTCCCCATTGACTTCAAAGCAATATATTTGATCGGTTCTCGCATTCATCAAAAATTAGGAGAAAGTACAGTACCCAAAATAATCGAAAAATTATTTTTCTCAACTTGATGGAGAAAATGAATGTGTAAATTTATTTTAAACGCAGAATTAGATCGTTCGGCCTCAGAAGGAGCTCAAGAAGCTAATAACAAGATCAAGTCTAGTTGTACTGTACACAGATGATGGGGAAGAAACACCAGAAAAAAGCACAAAATTAACCTGCTTCGCATTATGAATCGGGTTTATTTCATGATAAAAATTCATTCTTTTGTGTGAACATAAATAGCTCAATTTTTTTTCAAGGAATATCAATTTTGAAAAATAACATTTTTCAATTTTTCTAAAAATTTCAATTTGTCCATACGTCGAGACATTCGGGGTATATTTTCCTAGTTTCAAGTGCCCTTAAGTCGAATCGACCGTATGTCGGGGACCCGATGTAGTTGTTGTTCACTAACGTGATCAAACTCGAAACTAACCGAACCAAGCGCTACATAATCCAGGCGACATGTCACCGTCAACATTCCAACATCAACCTCGGGAACTGGGAATTTCTCCAGTAGTAATCACATAGAATTTACACAAAGAAAGTACAAAACTGAGCGAAGTTCGTGACAACAGTAAAAAATAAGGCTGCAAAAGGCAAAACTCACAGCGACGGGCCTCGTTCGGAAGAGAACTCGCAGTGAAAGATGAGGATGTTGCGCTCCTTGTGCGTGCCCTTGCCGTCGTTGTCGGGACTGCTGTCGGGAGTCGAGTCCGAGCCGCTGCCCGACGTAGACGACGCCGGCGACGAAGACGAAGACGCCACGCAGCCGCCCAACAGATGATTCCCGCCGCCGCCACTGCCGCTGCTCACGGCCGGCGCGATGCACGGTTCGTTGGGCAGGATCTCCTTCAGGATCTGGTCCTTGGTGTAAATATTCACAGCACCCACCACGTGTCCGCCGTCGAACTCGTACGGAAATCTGCGTCCAAGGAAAGAAAAAATATTGTACTGTACTCTGACGAATTCAAATAAAATGCAGGAAAAAGAAAATACTAAAAACGTCTACGCGGGCACCACTCAACCGTACTCTAAAATCGAAAAATATTCTTCCTTTTGTTTTACAGACAGATTCCACAGATGGAGTGATAAAGGCCACATTGAAGCTTCGATTTCCTTGCAGTGAATTTCCCTGTTGGGATTTCATTTCCATTGATCACACAAATTTCTGTTCCAGGTAGGCCGTAAAAATGCGTGCACACCTAAACTATCATTTTCATCAAGACGTCTAGGTTCTAGGCCACTTCAATTAAAAAAAAAAAAAAAATTCAGAAGTGCAGTATATACGTCAGAAATTTCAATCAATTCAAAAAATAAATTTCTTTAACTTGTGTGGGTCACATCAGTGAAATAAAAAAAATCTGGTTCGAATAATGACCTCTGCAGCGCTTCGATGCAACATTTAGTAACTTCTGCTCGGAAATTCTCCTCATTCGCCACAGTCCAAACCAAAGCAAAGGGATTGTTTTCAAATTTCACCAATTCAAACTGATTTCCCAAACACTTTTCCATTTTTTTTGTTTGTTGGAGAAGTAAAATTTTCGCTTCATCAAACACCCGCCCGGTGCGACCTCTACACGCAGGCGAATAAACCACAGTATTACGTATAAATCCATCAGAAAACATAACACAAGTGCGAAATCAAACGTAGAGAAAGTGAAGGGAATTGTAGGCAAGATTTGTTCGAACGGTCCATCAAAGTTGACACGAAACTAATCGCGGAAATCCGAGGAGATGCTTGCCAAGTTTTCATTCTACCATCGTACTAGCAGCAACTCCAAAGATCACGTGACACAAATAAATGCTGGTTTCCTTGGAGTCGCTGACGATGGAAACGGTTTCTCTAGTCTAATTCGTCGCCCTTTTTTTTGTCTCTCTTCAAAATGCATAAAAGCCTCACCTGCAGTCGATGACGGTGAAAGTGGTTATCACATTTTTGTAGTCGCCGCGCAGCACTTTGTTCAGCGTGTCCGGGGTGATGTTCTTCAAATCCGGGTGCTTCACGCCTTCAGTGACAAAGGGCAAGCAATAAGGCCGGGAACAGTCGGCTATCAAGTCCGGTCTCTTCTCCGACCTGTTGAGTGCCCTGCAAAACCAAATAGAGAAAACGATACCAAATTATCATTTGTTCAAAACATTCGCGTATTCATGAAACGTTCCCGCCCTCAGAAATCGCTTCGACAGCTGAGAAAATGAGAAGTCAGCAGCACTTCAACCAAAAAATATTCACCGTTTTCGGACAACTGTGAAAAACAAGTCAACTGTCTCGTAAAATTGGTTTGGTGCTGATGAAATTATTCTCGAACACTTCTTAAAGATGGCCAAAACGTTCAATGAAGTTTAAAAATCTGTTAATGCACGATAAATTGAATTATTTTTATATGTAGGACACGAAACTGGACAAGAATGAACCCCACAATTTCGTAAAATTTTGGTTCATGGCACGTCAGACATACAGCGGAAATTTGAATTGATTTTGAAATTCACGACGTTAATGTTCAATTGAAGCTAAAATCCTTTTCTTAAAAATCTACAGTTTTTTTAAAAACAGTATTCCAAAGGGCATACCAAAAATAGCACCACACGAATTATTATATCAAAGGAAGTAAATAACCCATCCAAGCGGGTATAACATAATTTCATTTCGAGCTTTCGGCTTTTAAATTTATTTCTGTTCAACCCTGTAACAATGGTCCAAGATTTTTCTGGTCCACCCAGAATACAAGTCTGAAGCTGAGCGACTGATTTAAAGAAACTTTCACTTCGATAAAATCATAAAATAGCCCCATAAGTACACAAATCAACGTTTCAGATTTTAACCGAAAATGTTCTTTACTTTCAAAAATGCTAACCATTGAGATTCTTCATACAGTATTACATTACATAAAAATTCGATGGCATCACCATAATACTGTATTTTCACAAAACATAATTCAACTTGACCTCACGTACGTGTGTCTGGATCTAACGAACCTTGAGACTCAAATTTTCACCAAGGTTAATTCTACCAATAGGTTTCAACTTTCAACTACGAGAGAACAGGCATCACGCGTGAAAATGCATCGGACTGTTGAACAAATCAACGTAGATTTTCATGCGATCAAAAATTTTTATTCAACAATTATTGCCCTGCTTTTCATTTGCTAGGAAAAAAAATGAAATAAACAACGCACCTGTTGATGATGGCATGAGTGTCGGACGTGGAGCGACGAAATGCTCTGGCGGCGAGGCTGAAGTTGGAGTCACTCTTAAAGTGGGCCAGCGGGACGTTGGCGCAGCGTTCACGCAGGCCCGACAAATCCGGCGGCATCGTGGCCGTGGCGTCCGCGTCCTCCTCCACCACCGACGACAGGCGCTTCAGCTTCGTCAACGGCGCCGGACAGCTTTCGGTGTCCCACGACAGACTGACCGAGGAACTCGTCGTCATGCTGCTCATCTTCCGAATCGTCGTCGTCGAATGCGGATTCGATTGGTGCACGCCAGTTGACTGCGATGACGGCGGAGCGTTTTCGTCATTCATCGGCGCCGCCTTCTTGGCTCTCGACGTCAACAACGGCGACCCATCGTTGTCAAAGTTAGTCCCAAATAAACTCCTCGCACTCTGGAAACAAAAATGATGCAATAAATAATTGAATCCGCCGGCTACATACAGAAACAACGCATCACCAAAAATTTGTGGTAACCTCAGAATTTTCATTTATTAATAATGCTGTATCACCAGATTCTTGAAATGGACAACCAGGAACATAGTTTTGAATTGCGTTTAATCAAAAAGATTTTTCCTTTTCCAATTCTTTAGAAAGTTTGAGAACCTGATATTCTACAAAAACTGCAAATTTCAATATTTTCTTTGCCAGATCATGTCAATAATTCAATAGTTGCATTATTATGCAAGCGTTATATATTTTTTAAAAATTGTGATCTTGCAAAATATTGATGTTTGTTCTAGTTGTGCCACTTGTTCCAGTCATGACCTTTGTTCTAGTTGTTACAGCTGTTCTAGTTGTTATATTTGTTCCAGTTACCATTGTTCCAAATGTTAGCATTGTTACAGGTGTTCTAGATGTTACAGTTGTTCTAGATGTTACAGTTGTTCTAGATGTTACAGTTGTTCTAGATGTTACAGTTGTTCTAGATGTTACAGTTGTTCTAGATGTTACAGTTGTTCTAGATGTTACAGTTGTTCTAGATGTTTCATTTATTATATTTGTTACAGTTACAATTTCTTTGCTGTTCCAGATTTTCTATTTGTTCCAGATGTTACAGTTGTTCTAGCTGCTGCCATTTTTTTCAAATATTCTTGTTGATTTTTTCAAAGGTTCTAGTTGCTGTTAGAACGTGTAGATCATATGTGACAAGGAAAAACAAGCAGTGGATAAGGTCACTTTGATTCAAGCCTAGTTACTCAATATTCAGGAATTCGTTAAGTTCGCGATTCAGGTGACACCTGCCGGCATTTTTGAAACGCATCATCAGCCGTTCAGCTCGATGAATCCCGTTGAGAAAAAAAAAATAAAAATTCCGCATCGTTCTTTCGAACACTACAATAATGTACCATCAAAACTCACTTTTGTGCCAGAAGTTTGCGGAGTGCCGCCGGCATAAGACAAAGCTCTTCGCAACGGAACCCGACCTCGGAAACCCAGTTCGTCATTATTACTGCTAGTACTCGCAGCAGCAGCAGCATTCGTCATTGTCTTCGTCATCGGTTTCCGTTTCGCCGAAACAACGTCTTCCGTGTCCATCGAGTCATTCGTCGTCGTCGTCTTCTTCTTCATATAGCCCGCGTCCAGGGTTTGGTTCGTTCCTGATGATGATGATGATACTGCTCCTTGCGGTTTCGGGAGCGACAGGATCGAGCCCATGAGCAACGAGTTGAGGCAAAGACTGGCGGCAGAGGAGGGCGGCGAGGAAGGCGGCAAATTGGCGTCCTCGTCCAACAACAGCTCGGAAAAGCCGTCGGATGACGACGAACACGGCGACATGACGACTGGCGAGCCAGTCAGGCGGCTCACAAATGGCGACATCGTCGATGTCGACGTGAGTCGTTTCGGCGGCAGACCGACGGGAGGCGTGAATCTACAACAAGGGAGAAAAAAAAACACGATCAGTGCCAACCCAAATAAACAATCCCTGTGTATACAAGCACGGAATGTGTAACTTCACAGACGTTTCGGGAATCATTCAACAGCTCCGACGGTCGACAGTTATTACTCTCATAGGACCAATCGAAATTTTCCAGCACGCCTTTCGACACTTTCATCAACGACGAAATTCTTGTGAAAATAAAACGAATTAATTTTGAGAAGCTCGCCAATTTATTAATAAGTATTTGCGGGTATAAGAAATGTCGGCAAGTTTCGTGTGAGCTCCACAAATCATTATTGCATTGAAGCCCACATAGCGACTTGACAGTTTTCTCTACCACTATTAAAACGACTTCGTGACCACTGTTGAAGGCACACGAGGTAGCTGGTAGTGGACAAAACTGGAAATGTTCTATTGACGGGTATAGCATCACATTTTATTTACAGAAATAGACAAGAAAATTGGCTATTAATCTCACAAACAGAATTTTCTTCGGCTTTTCATGAAATACAGTCGAACCTCTGTCAATTGTTTTACTTGCCTACGTCACATTTTTTCAAATATTCACGTCATAAAACATGAACTCGACGGCTTTTCCTCGCAAAGCTCCAGAGCTCGAAATTTCTGGAGGCCTTTTGGTTATTATTCCATTGAGACAGGAAAGAAAAATGAGATAAATATGAAACTCGATGATGTGCTTGGAGTTGGAAAGGAAGTAAAAAAAAACCAATTGAACATGGGAACCCTTGCCTTCAAGTTCACTATCATACCAACTCATTCAAGAAGTACCTTAAAGCCTAGAATATCGCCCATTACATTTTCCTGTAATTCTTCTTGCTTCACCTCAACAAAAAATCCTTGTTTCCCTAAATCAAAATCTCCCGAGCTGGAATTTTTTTTCCTCTTCTCTTGAAGTTCAATTCAAAGAGGTTTGAATGTGCTGTAAATAAAAAAATATGTGGATGTAGGGATAAGGACTCACTCGTGATCAGCCTTCTTTTGAATTGTCCTCAAAGGCGGTCTGGTACCCAAACCGGAGATCACTTTGCAGCCAACCATTTGATTCTCCTGTCCTTGTCCTCCGAAACTCAATTTGGTCCTCTTCGAAGGACTGACACGAGGAGAGTTCTTCGCCCTGGAAACGAAAAATTGACAAAAACAGTCAGAAAAACTCTTTAGAATTAATCGAGAATTCGGTCCAAACGCGAATATGACATTTTTGAACCATCGCAGTAATCTCGATGAAGAAATCAATGGACACACGTTAAATGTTTTTCCTCCAACACGTTTAACGAAAATTAGATACCACTAATTTTTTTTCCCCACTCAATCATCAGATTTTATATAGTAAGTAGTGTCCAGAATGGATTACGCAGTGAAAAAAAAACCTCGAGTTACCTAACTTCGGGAACAAATCGGAAGCGAGGGAGAAGAAAGAAAAAATAAATTTTCAAGCACAGGCGTTTTAAAATATTGTTCTTCGTAATTTCTTGCCATGTCGACAAGTTTCGTGTGAGCTCCAAAACTCATTAAGCAATTGAAACCCACATAGCGACTTGACAGTTTTCTCTACCACTATTAAAACGACTTCGAGACCACTGTTGAAGGCACACGAGGTAGCTGGTAGTGGACAAAACTGAAACGTGATTAATGGCAGCAAAAAACAGCCCATCATCATCACGTCTATGTAGAAAAGCATCCTGAGTTAATGGAGATTTCCCGAACTCCGCGAATTTCCTGAAGACAAGACGTGTGTTCCCCAATAGCAACTTGACCGTTGACTGATACAGTATTAATTTCTATTGGCATTCAAGCGACATCTACCGTACGTCATAAAAACTGAAATAGACTGACCCGGCATCTCGCGGCCAGGAAGAACTAATGACGGAATCTCGACCACACAAACCCCTTCCAAACCACGGAGGGAGGGACGGTGGGAGAAAGTAAGGAGAAGGGTGGATGTGTTAAGAAGGGTTGGTTGGCAAAGTAACGTACCTGTACGGGGAAACGTGTGCAAAAAGTCCGAGCCCGGGGGACCCACCGGGAAACTTTCTTTTGACACGGGCCCTAGCCGCGTTGTCCGGCTGCAGTGGCGACAACAGAGCCCTGCATTCCGGCGACATGTCCTCCTGTCCGCTCACCTCCATCTGTAGCACAACCAGGACCCCCGAACATTCAGCCAACAAGAAAAACTCAGAGAGGACTCAACAACCCTGCTCTTCATCCCTCCAAAGTGACACGTTCGGCAATTCACTTACTCTGAACGCGCAAGACGATTTTGATGCATGTATGTCTTTATCACGACGCGAAAGAAAAAAAAAACAAGGGATCACGAAGACGGAAGAAATTTCTACAAGTTTTATTTCTTCGTGAAAGCCAGATGAAAGTTCCATCTCGTCTCGAGAACGGCTTTTCAATCTTTTCATTCATTTACGACTCCCAAGATGGGCTATGTTCAGTTGAATCTCTCCGGAAAGCGAAACACCATTTCTTTCATCGTGAAAATGATCAAATAGACGAATATTTTATCCGAAAATCCCTTCACATGGTCAAATAATTCTGCTGTAGGGCTCGGAACTATATCAATTCCACGAACTAACCCGCGTCCATTTCGGTAAAACATTAATTTAGACATACTACGAAATAAAATCGTAGAATTGAATCCTCGGCCGTAGCTCTATTCAACTTGCATTCTAATGAGCACAGAAATTCAGAAGCAGTGAACATTTCTTAAATACTGCGTCCGTATTTCGTACTTATGACATGGGTGGGAGTCGGGATACAGGCATGTCTTGAAAGCGATACATTCCAGAAAGAAACGTTGAAAAGCACTATGGAATTACGAGTGAACGCGTCCGACCGCAAGTTCAAGGTTGAAGCGAAGTTTTTCTTACCTGGTCATCGCTGTGGTCTTTGGAGTCATCGTGGGAAACTGCGAAGTCAAGCTTCCTCGGACTCCTGAAACACACAAATTCACAAAAACACGGTTAGAAATCACTCATCACACAACTTCTTCCGCCATTAAACCGAGTAATTACCGAGAAGAGCAGCTAAACGGGAATCGGAAAATCCCATGATTGCTCCTAGACACCATTCCAGCAACGCACGGCGGCATTTATAAACGACGGGAATCACGAAATGAGTGAACACAAAGTTCCCCGCTACGCGGCCTTTCTAGTAGTCAGCTGAGATCTTCGGGAACACGACTGGGTAATTCGACCTCGGGTGAATCACGGTCACAGATTCAATGAGGAGTTCAAGTTCATAGCTGAGAGACTCGGTCTTCGCGGGAGTTCCGACTCGTCTCACCCGCGTTCAGCGACCGATTGGCAAGCGCGCCGAGTTCAGACATGGGGGCCTATCGACCCCAACGCGTTTGGGGTGTATCGAAAGATGTCCCGCTGTTAGAGAGTGTCCGCCAGCGGACACATTCACGCTTGCGCACATTCCAGCTAACCGACTCTTCATGAAAATTAAACTGGACATGTAATCAATTGCACCCAAATTTGGGTACAGAGTCACTGACTAGGCCACTGCTACTTTACATCTCTCAAAGTAGTCTTCAAAACGCTAATTGCCAAATGCTTAATCATGTGGGATGTATAAGATATACAGTATCCTGAAACAAGGGTATCACACCGAGGAACTCAAAGGATAGTACCACAGAAAAATCAACATTGCTTTTACATTTCTATGGATTCTGACACCCAATGGTTACAATGGCGTTCACCAGAGAATTCTTATACAGAAGGATTACTGGTATGTTGGCAACGTTAGGTCTGCAGTTGTCGTAAAACTATTGAAAGTGCAATACAGGTTTTGTGGAACTATTCTTGAACATTACTTGGTAATACAGTATAATTTAATATTAAAAGTCTAAGAGGAAAGACGACTTCCAAGCAATACTAAAACCAGCAACACCATAATCGCTTGGGATGACCCTGATTAATACAAAACCAATTTATTTATGATGGAGAGGAGACAGTATTGAAACATACATTTGCAAAGAATTGCAGACATGTCCATTCAACATAAAATAAAATAAAACTCCTTCACAGTATCCGTGTTACCTAACACAATCTGGATGACAGAAGAGGAATAATCGGTCCATCCGGACACGTTCAATGCTCGAACCTTTCTCTTCTACCTCCCCGAGTTCCCACCCGCCCTCGCTCTGTCCCACACATTTCTCTCTCTCCCTCTCATATAAGAAGCCGGGTTGAATGAACCGCACGCTGGCTCTTCCCTAATGCATTATTTCCTGCTACCCCCACCACAAGACCGTCCTTCAGTTCCGAAAAGCGCGGGACGAGTTCGCGCGCGCGCGCACCCACATAACTTACAGTACCATCAGGAATAGGGTATCGATTGTTGCATACGTGCGGTACCAAAGGGGGTACCCTGGCAACACGGACCCGCGCAATCCAGCCCGTGAGAGCGCAAGAAAGACAGATCCATCCCCTACATGCACACGCGGAACAAGGGGAACAGGGCCCCTGGTCTAAAAATGCATGATGTGATGCGCTGGGGGTATTGATCTTCAGGGTAGCCAACTTTCAGGTCTTTTCCATCACTTTTTCCACACAAAAAATACCATCACGCTATTCAATGTAAGCAATGGTCTAGCAGCCTGAAAAACCATAATCAGGTCACATCAGTCCACAATACTGTACTAATAGTCTCCTTGCATCAACTTGTAGGAGTACTATATTTCATTCACTTTAGCTAGCCTTCAGCAAGTGAAGATGACTTCAGACTGTTTTTTTTTCTTAATCTTGAAGCACTGTCATGGCAGAATTCCAGTAGAACCTATATTATTCATAAGATCAAAACCACAAGGATCAAATGTCTTGGCTGGCTTGCAAATCATTCATGGACAATACATAAAATGGCCCATGTATATCAGGAGAGAGCATTTTGAGTTACTTGCAATCAATCAGTAGGACTGTCTGCTTCATGCAAGATCATCAGGAATAAGAGAAAAAAGCCAGATTGTTAACCTTGGCAATTTTCCAATTAAAGACTTCACAAATGACACAAATTTTCTTGTTTCAGACCATGACAGACTAAACTTAGCACATGAATGAAAAAGTAATTTACTGCTCCTCTAACTAACCATCCAATGAAGTATAATAGATTTGCTGAGTGTTGCAAAACTGTCCAAGGCGAACTTAACCCCCAAAAACTTTCAATACTACCAGATCCTAATCACATTTCATCTTTGAAAAATTAACCATGATTTCAACAGGAAACAAAGCTCAACTTTGAAAACCCTAATCCTAAATAGAACATTAAAAAATGGAAGCAATCTGAGGATTCTGAACAAATCAATGTGCACCAACCTTTCAAAACCACAGTTCAATTGCTCCAAGTTGAACTCCCCTTAGTAGAAAACTTCTCAACTTTAACATGCATTAGCAAAAATTCCTTTTGCCTTTGAGCTTTTGACCTGTGGCAACATTTTTGAAAACTGCACCCAAAAGCTATGAAAAATTTATGCTATATTGTTTTCCACAGTGGTTCAGGCAACTTCCTGCAGGCAAGACATAAAATAATGTTAAACTTTTCATCAGCCTGTGAAAATTGGGTCACATTCACGAACCAAAAATATTTTGGAGTTGCTTCAAATTCAACTCAAAGTGGCTCAACTGTACCAAACAACCTAGGTTTGATAAGATCTCCATGCTTTCTTCAGCGCAGCTAGACGGAGCAGGAGACGTGATGCTGTTTCACAGAGGGAAATAAAAATCCAAGTCTGACAGCATTAGGTGTTCGGTTAGACGTAGACCCCAGATCATCCACAGCACCCTTCCCCGGAGGCAAGGGAACACCTTTTCAGGGCGAGGGAGGTCTGTAATTTCCATGGCATTCCCGGGTTATCAACCGTCTCGCGGGTGGAACAAGGCTTAACGGTTACGTGGCGCTGGGAGCTCCAGGATTCGCACTGAGTGACTTCAAGCTTACAGTGCACATTGACAGAATCTTTTCTTCAAGCATCTTGTGATGTTCACCCCTAGTTTCAAGACATGATAGTACTGTTCATGAACTTAACTTCGATACATATTTTGGTTTAACCAAAATATGTAAGTATGGACCATTTAAGGCCTACTTACTACTGTATTCATAAGTAACACACAAGTTTTCAAATCAAGCGAAGTACTTTACTATACCTAGTAGTCCTCCAGTCATAATTCATAATCCACAGACAATAAATTGTATTCAACATCGAATACAAAATACACCCCTTGACTGGCATCCATCCAAGTCATGGGCCTAGGCTTAGACATTCAATATTGGACAAAATACCATGAATATGAAAAAGTAGGTACTGTACTGTTATGGATGTAAATTCAAACTGTACATCAATGTGAATGTACTCTAATTAATTTTCCAAAAGAGAATAATTTGCGCTTCTCTTCAGATGGGATTTTACAACAACTGTACAGAGTTGAGCAATATGTGTACTCTGCTTTCCCCCTTTTGCACTATTTTACATTCTATGTCAAGAGGGAAATTCTGTGTGGTTTCCTACTGCAGGGTTACTGCCTGAATCTTGAAATTAAGAGAAAAAACATTTCTTGTTGGAAGACTTCCCAATTTATTGGCCAAAATGAATTATGATTAATACGCTACAGTATTTTCCAAGTCCATGGGAAAATGTGATTCAAACTTGCAGACATTATGATATACAGACACAGTCTGAGAAGTACTGTACAGTAGTATTGCAGTACGTCCGCATTTTTGGGCCCCACTGTAGTGAGCTTTTTGAGAACTCGGTTACGTTTAGAAAATGTTGTTCAATATTGAACACACTTCCAATTGGATTCCAACACAGAAACAGCCAAATATCATGAGCAAAACGCTAACATTTTGAGTGTGAAGGCACTCCTTCGGACGCCCGCCGCCGGATGCAGGAGAGAGCACCTGAAGGAGCGCGAGGATACGGGGAGGGGAGGTGCGAGAGGCTGGTAACCTGGCCGCCATAAGAAGGTTTCCACTCCCTCTCTACCACACATTCATACTGCCAGCATTCACACCGGTTCAATCTGCGCGCGCGCGCAGTTCCCCCTGCCGTGCGCCATGCAGTCAGCAGGATCAAAAGGCACTTTTTAAGTCCTAACACAAAATTGAGATGGGAATTTCGCGTAAAAATGTTGCGCGGTTGATAATAAAAAAATAAGGACCAATTCGCAAAATATGAACAGGGAATTTAATCAAGAATTTTTTTCTACTGTTATTGGTCACATAATTGAAGAACCAACATAGATCAGAGCAAGTAAAGACCCGAGACATTCTGCATTCAATAAGGAAAATCATTACTGTATAAGTTAAATAAAAAAGAGTGGATTCAACAGGTGTTTGAAACAAAACTTCAGGAAGTTAACCAAATCCCGTATTCACCTAACAACAGGCAACATCCTGATATGCAGGTAGCCCTTTGGGAAGTGAACGTGTAATGAGCACCACAATGATTTTAAATGAAAATTTTCGACCCATACTTCATTCAGTGAAAAATCAGAAATCGCCTACGCTAGTTAAACTATAATGTTTCAACACATAACGCACATTCTCACACTCAAGAAGGTTTTTGTATCTTGCTTATAGAAAATTGCCATGAATCATCTCTGAGAACTGCAGCAATTTTTTTTTCAAGGGGATGGATGCGATCCACTATTTAGTGATTACCGCATTTGCTTCACAATTAAAGTTTTAACACGTGATGTGTGCTGTATCATCTCCCATGCAGCTTATTGAGGCTCTTTTTCACACAAATGACAACACCACCGTCAACCAGACTGGCAGCCGCCCGGATAACAGAGAGAGAGAGAGGGGCGGTAGTTGAGTGAGGCGAGAGATTGTCTTTCCCTCCCCCTCTGCAAGTCTTGGGGTCGGGGCATCATCAGCTGAGGGTGGTCCCGGCGGCGCACACAGCTGATCGCATTCCGCGCTCCCAGCGGCACATCTGTCCTGGGCTCTCAGCCGGCCTCAAAGGAGAACCAGGATTTTCCGCCGAATTTAATCGCGGTTCCCTCAGCCGCCCTACCAACCAACCCAACCCCTCCCTACCTAAAGCAGATAAGGCTTTTTTCCCCTTCCTACCCGACTGCCACTTCTGTATACAGTATTTTCTGGGGTTGAAATATAAAAGTCTGGCTTTGACAGTAAAACCACCCCAAAGTCACCAACTACCAAACCGACCTTCACATCCCCACAGAATAAATTTCAAGACTGGTTTCTACACGTACGTTGCCAGCTGGAAGAATATCACCTGAATGCGAAGAAAATAATGGGGATGGTTTGCATTTATTAAAGTCTTATGCTCTTATTC